AGACAAGACATAGACATAGACATAGACATAGACATAGACATAGACATAGACATAGACATAGACATAGACATAGACATAGACATAGACATAGACATAGATATAGATATAGATATAGATATAGATATAGATATAGATATAGATATAGATATAGATATAGATATAGATATAGATATAGATATAGATATAGATATAGATATAGATATAGATATAGATATAGATATAGATATAGATATAGATATAGATATAGATATAGATATAGATATAGATATAGATATAGATATAGATATAGATATAGATATAGATATAGATATAGATATAGATATAGATATAGATATAGATATAGATATAGATATAGATATAGATATAGATATAGATATAGATATAGATATAGATATAGATATAGATATAGATATAGATATAGATATAGATATAGATATAGATATAGATATAGATATAGATATAGATATAGATATAGATATAGATATAGATATAGATATAGATATAGATATAGATATAGATATAGATATAGATATAGATATAGATATAGATATAGATATAGATATAGATATAGATATAGATATAGATATAGATATAGATATAGATATAGATATAGATATAGATATAGATATAGATATAGATATAGATATAGATATAGATATAGATATAGATATAGATATAGATATAGATATAGATATAGACATAGACATAGACATAGACATAGACATAGACATAGACATAGACATAGACATAGACATAGACATAGACATAGACATAGACATAGACATAGACATAGACATAGACATAGACATAGACATAGACATAGACATAGACATAGACATAGACATAGACATAGACATAGACATAGACATAGACATAGACATAGACATAGACATAGACATAGACATAGACATAGACATAGACATAGACATAGACATAGACATAGACATAGACATAGACATAGACATAGACATAGACATAGACATAGACATAGACATAGACATAGACATAGACATAGACATAGACATAGACATAGACATAGACATAGACATAGACATAGACATAGACATAGACATAGACATAGACATAGACATAGACATAGACATAGACATAGACATAGACATAGACATAGACATAGACATAGACATAGACATAGACATAGACATAGACATAGACATAGACATAGACATAGACATAGACATAGACATAGACATAGACATAGACATAGACATAGACATAGACATAGACATAGACATAGACATAGACATAGACATAGACATAGACATAGACATAGACATAGACATAGACATAGACATAGACATAGACATAGACATAGACATAGACATAGACATAGACATAGACATAGACATAGACATAGACATAGACATAGACATAGACATAGACATAGACATAGACATAGACATAGACATAGACATAGACATAGACATAGACATAGACATAGACATAGACATAGACATAGACATAGACATAGACATAGACATAGACATAGACATAGACATAGACATAGACATAGACATAGACATAGACATAGACATAGACATAGACATAGACATAGACATAGACATAGACATAGACATAGACATAGACATAGACATAGACATAGACATAGACATAGACATAGACATAGACATAGACATAGACATAGACATAGACATAGACATAGACATAGACATAGACATAGACATAGACATAGACATAGACATAGACATAGACATAGACATAGACATAGACATAGACATAGACATAGACATAGACATAGACATAGACATAGACATAGACATAGACATAGACATAGACATAGACATAGACATAGACATAGACATAGACATAGACATAGACATAGACATAGACATAGACATAGACATAGACATAGACATAGACATAGACATAGACATAGACATAGACATAGACATAGACATAGACATAGACATAGACATAGACATAGACATAGACATAGACATAGACATAGACATAGACATAGACATAGACATAGACATAGACATAGACATAGACATAGACATAGACATAGACATAGACATAGACATAGACATAGACATAGACATAGACATAGACATAGACATAGACATAGACATAGACATAGACATAGACATAGACATAGACATAGACATAGACATAGACATAGACATAGACATAGACATAGACATAGACATAGACATAGACATAGACATAGACATAGACATAGACATAGACATAGACATAGACATAGACATAGACATAGACATAGACATAGACATAGACATAGACATAGACATAGACATAGACATAGACATAGACATAGACATAGACATAGACATAGACATAGACATAGACATAGACATAGACATAGACATAGACATAGATATAGATATAGATATAGATATAGATATAGATATAGATATAGATATAGATATAGATATAGATATAGATATAGATATAGATATAGATATAGATATAGATATAGATATAGATATAGATATAGATATAGATATAGATATAGATATAGATATAGATATAGATATAGATATAGATATAGATATAGATATAGATATAGATATAGATATAGATATAGATATAGATAAAGATATAGACATAGACATAGACATAGACATAGACATAGACATAGATATAGATATAGATATAGATATAGATATAGATATAGATATAGATATAGATATAGATATAGATATAGATATAGATATAGATATAGATATAGATATAGATATAGATATAGATATAGATATAGATATAGATAGATATATATATAATATACTTACACCCACATATACGTATATATAAATGTGTGTTTGTGTGTATATAGCAATTGTGTATTCGTTACCAAAAAATGTTTTATAATATTAAAGCCTTGCGTTCAGTGAAAAGTTAAATTTGAACAAGCCACTACCATTTTAAAAAAGTTTACTGGGATACATTTCAGTTTTTATCTCATCTATATTTTTTTTCCAACCCCAAAAACTCCTGGCATGTTTAGCCGGCTGTCACGTGATTAGTTTACTCTTGGTTTGATAGAGGTTTGTTGAGTGTCCTCTGGGTTATACGGTGATCGTTGTACCCACGTCTGCTGTAGTTCCCGCTTGCTCGTATGTCAAGGTACCAGGGTAAGACTGTACCAGGGTAAGACTGTACCAAGGTAAGATTCTACCAATATATTACTGTACCCAGATTTGAATGTACCGAGATACGACTGTGCCAAGTTATGAATGTACCACTGTACCAATATACGATTGTGTCATGGCACGGCTGTACCAATATATCACTGTAACACTGTACCACGATATGGCTGTACCAAGATGCCACTGTACCAACATTCGACTGTACCATGATACGACTGTACCAACATACCACTGTACCAACATACGACTGTACCAACATACGACTGTACCAACAGACAACTGTACCGATGTATAAAGGTTTTTTGACACAGCAGCTCAACAGAAACAAGACCTGCCATTTTGTCACCAAGCCTAAAATCGTCCAATCAAATGTAAGAGTCTATTTTCATCTCAGTAACGTGTCAAATTTTCCAAGGAAAGAAAAATGTTATACCAGATATAATGAGGTAGAAACGCATTTAAATGTATATATGTATGTGTGTGTATGCATATGTGTGTGTATGTGTGTGTATGTATGTTTGTGTGTGTGTGTGTATGTATGTGTGTGTGTGCGTGTGTCTGTTCTTACTTAACAAACAAAACGAAATGACGTGTAGAGTGATAAAACGGTTTCCTTTTATTTTAGACTTCACTTTCATACATTTAAATGACAGCAGTAAAAAAAAAATTTCATCCAATCACATCGTCCCGTGGAACAGTTTCAACCAATCAGATCTTCTCCTGGGCCCGACCAAAGCGCATGTACTGGCTCCGCTTGACCTCGTCCCGTTTGCCGAACCTGGGGTAGGAGCTTCTGCTGGGCTCGCGGGCGTAGCGGCCGTACCCGTCGTCAGAGAGGTCAGAGGTCAGCTTCTCCATGTCCTCGAGCAGGTAGGCGCCGTCGTTGTTTCTGCCGAACCTGGGGGGAGGGGGGGGTCGTTAGTTCGTTTCACAGGGGGAGGGGTACAGTTGATATATCTTTACACAAGCGGGGTAGGTGGTGTAGGAGGTCAAAAGGAAAGTATATGCTAGGAATCTAGTATAATATATTCTCTCTTCTTCTTCGTTCTTAATTTTAGTGTTGGAAGGGATCCCCACCAACAAAATTAAGTATACGTGTCAACTGGTTATGCGCCATTGCTTTTTTTTTTTTTCGATTTGCTTCCGTAGCCTTTGTCCAACCTAGAACAAACTACAAGGCAGCAGTTGTTTGATTTTGGAGTTGTCTCTCCTAGAAAAGTGGCTGTCCCCAGCTAACGAGCCTTATCTGCCCGAGGGTTCGAACTCGAGACTTTTCGGTTTAGCAACCATGAGCTTTACCGACTCGATCACGTCGAACCCTATAGTATAATATGAATTAATTGTTTTGTGTCATAATTTGTCATTTTAAGTTTTTAACAATGCTGCAATATAGTGTTGTCTTTCCTGTGCGAGAATTCGCGAAAAACGACTTTAAACGTTGCCTAATGGCGACTTTCATGACCTAAAGAAATCATACTTCCTCATGACTGCTAGCTAATCCTGCCTGATGATTTGTTTCGATCTAGCTTTAACCACACCTCCATGCCACAAGTCACCCCGCCTACCTTTAACCACACCTCCATGCCACAAGTCACCCCGCCTACCTTTAACCACACCTCCATGCCACAAGTCACCCCGCCTACCTTTAACCACACCTCCATGCCACAAGTCACCCCACCTACCTTTAACCACACCTCCATGCCACAAGTCACCCCGCCTACCTTTAACCACACCTTCATGCCACAAGTCACCCCGCTTACCTTTAACCACACCTCCATGCCACAAGTCACCCCGCTTACCTTTAACCACACCTCCATGCCACAAGTCACCCCGCTTACCTTTAACTACACCTCCATGCCACAAGTCACCCCGCTTACCTTTAACCACACCTCCATGCCACAAGTCACCCCGCCTACCTTTAACCACACCTCCATGCCACAAGTCATCCCGCTTACCTTTAACCACACCTCCATGCCACAAGTCACCCCGCCTACCTTTAACCACACCTCCATGCCACAAGTCACCCCGCTTACCTTTAACCACACCTCCATGCCACAAGTCACCCCGCCTACCTTTAACCACACCTCCATGCCACAAGTCACCCCGCCTACCTTTAACCACACCTCCATGCCACAAGTCACCCCGCCTACCTTTAACCACACCTCCATGCCACAAGTCACCCCGCCTACCTTTAACCACACCTCCATGCCACAAGTCACCCCGCCTACCTTTAACCACACCTCCATGCCACAAGTCACCCCGCCTACCTTTAACCACACCTCCATGCCACAAGTCACCCCGCCTACCTTTAACCACACCTCCATGCCACAAGTCACCCCGCCTACCTTTAACCACACCTCCATGCCACAAGTCACCCCGCCTACCTTTAACCACACCTCCATGCCACAAGTCACCCCGCCTACCTTTAACCACACCTCCATGCCACATGTCACTTCGCCTACCTTTAACCACACCCTCGACTATTTGCTTCTTGTCGTATGACAAACGGCTAGTCATTAGCACGTGTCATAAGTCTCCCTGTGAATTTAATCCATTGCTACCCTATGTCGCATTCGCCGTTTGCTACCCCATCTGATTATGATATTATCCGTGGATGATCCGTTTCTTAATTGTCAATCAGCGGTCAATTATTTTCTTGAGTCAACAAGACTTTCATCAACCTACCTTGTGTAACCTTAGCCTCGTTACCCAGTGTCACCTTGACCTAGTAACCTCGTATCACCTTGACCTAGTTGCTATGTGTCACCTTAAGCTAGTAACCCCGTGTCCCCTTGGCCTCGTTACACCATTCCACTTTGACCTAATTACCTCGTGTAACCTTAACCTAATTACATCTTGTCACCTTGACCTACTTACCTCATGTACGGCTTAGCCCTGATCTCCCGCACGTCCACCTCCATGAGGGCCTTGTCGTCTGCCACCGACGACTTGAGTTCTGCTGAAGATCTTTTTTCCAGCGCGGGCTCGTCGTGTGGCATGACGTCAGCAGACCGCCTTTTGCGGCTCGGTTTCACGGCTTCGTCTGCGCTGACTCTGGTGAGGAGCAGACGATATTAGATGCAGAAGATATTAGATGCAGAAGATATTAGATGCAGAAGATATTAGATGCAGAAGATATTAGATGCAGAAGATATTAGATGCAGAAGATATTAGATGCAGAAGATATTAGATGCAGAAGATATTAGATGCAGAAGATATTAGATGCAGAAGATATTAGTTGCAGAAGATATTAGTTGCACACGATATTAGATGCACACGACATTAAACACAGCAGACGGCAACAGATTCAGAGCAGAAGGCAAAGAGACATAGCAGACTACATTAAATAAAGAGCAGACGGTAAGAGATTCATAGCAGATGGCATAAAATACAGAGCAGAAGTCACCAGACATGGAGCTGACGCCATTAGGTAGAGACATTTCATCAATTGTCGAATTTAATGAAAGGCTTAAATATTGTTCACTTTTTAACTAATGTTAACTAATAACAACTTAATGCTATCAATTGAGACTGACGTAAACAATGACCTAATGCCATCAACTGACCTAGACAATGACCTAATACCGTCTACTTACCTAGACAATGACCTATTGCCATCAATTGAGACTGACCTAAGCAATGACCTAATGCCATCAACTGACCTAGACAATGACCTAATACCACCAGGTGATACTAACCTAGACAATGACCTAATGCCATCAACTGACCTAGACAATGACCTAATGCCATCAACTGACCTGGAGAGAATCTCCTCCTCAATCTCTGCCCGACCGTCTGATGAACTCTTCCCAAACCTTAGAAAAGGGTCTCCTCGTCCGAATCGAATGAAGGGGTCACCTCTCCCAAATCTCAGGTAGGGTTCGTTTCTCCCAAATCTCAGGTAGGGGTCATTTCGTCCGAATCTGATGTAAGGGTCACTTCTCCCGAACCTGATAAAAGGATCACCCCTAGTGACTCGACTTGAATCACGTTTGCCGAATCTGATGAATGGATCGCCTCGCCCGAATCTGATGAATGGGTCACCACGGCCAAACCTCAAGAACGGGTCACCTCTACCGAATCTTAAAAACGGGTCACCGCGGCCGAATCTGATGAAAGGGTCACCACGCAGCGTCCGGTCTAGAAGGTCACCGTCCTGTGAATCTGATTGGTCGAATGGAAGTAACTCTTTCTTGTCCAGTTCATCTGCATAAATTAAAATATTTAAAAATAGAATTTTTTAAAAAATTATTTCCTTTTGTTCTGTTGGGCCATCGAAAGCTTTGTATCATATGCGAGATTTTTATCATTCAATACATAATGATTTTTATTAAAACTTAGCACACCAATGTATTATTGCGAAGAATTTTTTTGGATCAAACATAGCAGCGAGAAGGTGTAATGTACATGTTTGTTGAAAAGTAGTTAGCTCTTGTTTAATGTTGCAACTTTTTTTGTGTGTGTATAGGTTGGGGGAGTAGCTTTGTTGTGTGTAGGGGTGGGGGGAGTAGCTTTGTTGTGTGTAGGGGTGGGGCGAGTAGCTTTGTTGTGTGTAGGGGGGGGGAGTAGCTTTGTTGTGTGTAGAGGTGGGGCGAGTAGCTTTGTTGTGTGCAGAAGTGGGGCGAGTAGCTTTGTGTAGGAGTGGGGCGAGTAGCTTTGTGTAGGAGTGGGGCGAGTAGCTTTGTTTAGGGGTGGGGCGAGTAGCTTTGTGTAGGAGTGGGGGCGAGTAGCTTTGTGTAGGAGTGGGGCGAGTAGATTTGTTGTGTGTAGGGGTGGGGCGAGTAGCTTTGTTGTATGTAGGGGTGGGGCGAGTAGCTTTGTGTAGGAGTGGGGCGAGTAGCTTTGTGTAGCAGTGGGGCGAGTAGCTTTGTTTAGGGGTGGGGCGAGTAGCTTTGTGTAGGAGTGGGGCGAGTAGATTTGTTGTGTGTAGGGGTGGGGCGAGTAGATTTGTTGTGTGTAGGGGTGGGGGGGGAGTAGCTTTGTTGTGTGTAGAGGTGGGACGAGTAGCTTTGTTGTGTGTAGGGGTGGGGCGAGTAGATTTGTTTAGGGGTGGGGCGAGTAGCTTTGTGTAGGAGTGGGGCGAGTAGATTTGTTGTGTGTAGGGGTGGGGCGAGTAGCTTTGTGTAGGAGTGGGGCGAGTAGATTTGTTGTGTGTAGGGGTGGGGGGGAGTAGCTTTGTTGTATGTAGAGGTGGGACGAGTAGCTTTGTTGTGTGTAGGGGTGGGGCGAGTAGCTTTGTTGTGTGTAGAGGTGGGGCGAGTAGCTTTGTTGTGTGTAGGGGTGGGGCGAGTAGCTTTGTTGTGTATAGGGGTGGGGCGAGTAGATTTGTTGTGTGTAGGGGTGGGGGGAGTAGCTTTGTTGTGTGTAGGGGTGGGGCGAGTAGCTTTGTTGTGTGTAGGGGTGGGGGGAGTAGCTTTGTTGTGTGTAGAGGTGGGGCAAGTAGCTTTGTTGTGTGCAGAAGTGGGGCGAGTAGCTTTGTGTAGGAGTGGGGCGAGTAGCTTTGTGTAGGAGTGGGGCGAGTAGCTTTGTTTAGGGGTGGGGCGAGTAGCTTTGTTTAGGGGTGGGGCGAGTAGCTTTGTGTAGGAGTGGGGGCGAGTAGCTTTGTGTAGGAGTGGCGCGAGTAGATTTGTTGTGTGTAGGGGTGGGGCGAGTAGATTTGTTGTGTGTAGGGGTGGGGGGGAGTAGCTTTGTTGTGTGTAGAGGTGGGACGAGTAGCTTTGTTGTGTGTAGGGGTGGGGCGAGTAGCTTTGTTGTGTGTAGGGGTGGGGCGAGTAGCTTTGTGTAGGTGTGAGGGAGTAGCTTTGTGTAGGTGTGAGCGAGTAGCTTTGTTGTGTGTAGGGGTGGGGCGAGTAGCTTTGTTGTGTGTAGGGGTGGGGCGAGTAGCTTTGTGTAGGTGTGAGGGAGTAGCTTTGTTGTGTATAGGGGTGGGGCAAGTAGCTTTGTTGTGTGTAGAGGTGGGGCGAGTAGCTTTGTTGTGTGTAGGGGTGGGGCGAGTAGCTTTGTGTAGGTGTGAGGGAGTAGCTTTGTTGTGTGTAGATGTGGGTGGAGTAGCCTTAGAATACCAACCCTGTAAGGCGGCATGTTGCTGCTGGTGCTTGCAGTAGTGATCGCTGGTCTGTTGGGTGGTGCTGGCTGCTGGTGCTTGGCTTTCGCAGCTGGTTGATGCTGTAGCTGGCAGTAGGGAGCTGTAGCTGGCATGCTGTTGCTGGAGCTGGCACGGCTATGCTACGGCTGGCGTATCGCAGCTGGTGCTTGCATAAACAGCTTGGGTTGGCATGTCGCAGCCGGTGTTTTTATTAAAGAGCTGGGACACACACTATGGGGAAACACACATTGCTGTACGGCGTCAGGAAGTGTTTAAATCTTGTTTGGCAATCTGGACAACGAACTGATTCTAGTAAGGGACTGATTCTAATAATGGGCAGATTCTGACATAGGGCTGATTCTGATAAGGAACTGATTCTGATAAGGGGCTGATTCTGATAAGGGGCTGATTCTGATAAGGGGCTGATTCTGATAAGGGACCGATTCTAACAATGGGCAGATTCTGACGGATTATTCAGATTGTGATAAAAGAACTAATTCTGATAATAGGACTTATTCTGATGGACAGATTCTGATAAAGAAATGAATCTGGCAAATGCCTAACTTGCTTTTTAGTCAGCTTTAGGTTTAAACTAAAACTTAATTAGCAGTGAAAGTCTACCAGAAATTATTTTTTACCTGTTGACTGCGATGTTTTAAGAAAGAGTTCAAGTCAGTTAATAAAGGTTTAAGTAACCTTCCCTTACATAAAAGTCATTAAGTCTATCATTGTTTGCCTCCATAGCATTAAGTGTTAGGGCTGCTATAGTTCTACAATCAGTACAAAACAAAGTCGGTATCTCATGTTATACAGGTGAGTAGTGTATTTACATCTTTTCTCAAAGCGACTGACAAAAAACGAAAATGCTAATGTTACTATCCTATACATTTTGTGTCCGTGTTTCTATTGTTAGATTTAGCTTATGTTGATGAATGTATGACAGGTTTATATTTAGCTACCGTGTCTAGCGTTTGTATTGGTCAATATATGGTCTGAATGCCAGTTTACATCATATACATGTGTATGGTTACTTGATTGCTAGTGTAGATCTATGGATACCTTGTATGGGCCACAAAAAATGCTGGGTAGTTTCAGAATTTAAGGGGACGTCAGGTTTGAAAAGGGAACTTTACTTACTTTACTTATCATGATTTAAAGCAATTAATGGTACTCTCTATACGAAAGAATTTCCGTGAACATTTTCTTTGAACCCAGCTGAAGCAGGAACTGAAATTCAAACAGTCTGACTTATGACACAGACGTAACAAATGATCAGACGTCAGCCACAATGGAAGGATGTCTGAAACCAGATGTGCCCACGGCAATATTTTGTGGGACCATTACGTTAATGACTAACCACAAACAAAATTACTTTTTTTTAAATAATACGAAAACTAATAGGCTATTTTTTTTCTAAAACATTTTTCATTGTATTCATTTATAGACAATTCTGTGACTATTAAGGAGTTATACAACTTAATTTATTTGGGGCATATTGGAGCAATACTACACTGTACTTCATTAGGGGCAATTAAGGGAAAATCTACACAGTATTTTTGCAGCGGGATTCGTAATTTTGTTCAAGCAAAAGAATCGTGAAATAGAATGATCGCTTTAAAACTATGACAGTACAATGTACATTAGCCTTTATTTCTCAAAACAGACCAAAGACGTGTTTCATTGTAAATAACAAAATTTTATTTCAAATAATTTTTTTGTATATCACCGTTACCCCAGCCAATCGAGTACACAGCACTAAGCTAACCTGGCTAATGACCTCCATCACTGCTCAAATGTGCGCCTAATCTGGATCATAATTTGCATGAGATTTGTAGTCACGACTGTTGGATTTTATTGAATGAGAACATTTCGTTTGAAAAAAATTAATTTAATATTTAAAAATACGCGGGCATTCTGGTTCATGCTCGCTACCCTGGCTAGGTGGCTACCCTGGCTAGGTGGCTACCCTGGCTAGGTGGCTACCCTGGCTAGGTGGCTACCCTATGGCTACATTGCTACCAGAACGAGCATTAAGACTGGACTTGGCTTGACTCTGCTGACCGCGATTCTCGCTTACCAAACCTCATAAACCTCTTCTCCTGCCCGTCTTTGCCGAACCTCATAAACCTCTTCCCGAACCTCATAAACCTCTTCACCGCTTCCTCGTCGGTGTCGCCGTCGGATTCGTTATAAAACACGTCGTCGTCGTTATCCTCCTCGCCGCCGTAACTCCGACCGAACCGCATGAAACGCTTCTCCGGGTCGCGGCCAAATCGCATGAACCTTTTACCAAACCTCATGAACCTTTTCCCGAACCTCATAAACCTCTTCTCCTCCTCCTCGTCGCCTCTTCCGAACCTCATGAACTTTTTATCGACCTCGATTTCCGACGGCTCTCGTTTCTCTAATTCTTTATTCTCGTTTTCCGCGATGGGTTCGGCGGATCTTTGTGCTCGGTGCGCTTGCTCGGCATTTTCCGTCACGACCGCAGACCTCCGCTTCCGGTAGACGGGCTCTTCTGATTGGAGGATTACATCCCGGAGGTATTCGTCAACATCCGGTTGTTCCGACCGGCCGAACCGCAGGAATCGCTTGTCCTGGTAGGGCTGGTACCCCCCGCGCCCGATTCTGTAGAACTGCCGGCTGATTCTGGAGTAGGGCTCTGTGTCTAGCGCCCTACCGAAACGTAAAAATCTTTTGGTCACTGAGGAGAGAGATGAAATAGAGGCTTTAGTTGATGAAATGTAGGCTTAGTTGATGAAATGTAGGCTTAGTTGATGAAATAGAGGCTTTAGTTGGTGAAATAGAGGCTTTAGTTGGTGAAATAGAGGCTTTAGTTGGTGAAATAGAGGCTTTAGTTGGTGAAATAGAGGCTTTAGTTGATGAAATAGAGGCTTTACTTGATGAAATAGAGGCTTTAGTTTGGGAATTGTATGAAAACATGGAGTAATTAGTTGTTGAATTAGATCAGAAAATTAGTTGGTGAATAGCCGCTATATATTTACAACATTTCTGCTGTAAAGACAAAGGATTCCTCCAAATTTTCATATAGGGAAGACTCGCGAAGTGTTTGTATATTTTGTTTCTTTTTTTCAGACGATAAAGGCGTATAAAAGAAATCTTTCGTATAGTTTCGTGTACGACAGTTCTGTGTTTAATCCTAAATCTAAAACTACCCATTTGAGATTTTAAGCATTTTTTTTTACCCATAACTGCGAATACGCTTCGAAATTTGTTCAACTATATCTCATTTTTATTAGAATTTAGGTTATGTTTTTGAAAAAAAAATAACAGAGGTAACTTTTGCTAATTAAATAATGTAATACTTTATTTATTTTAGATAATTAAAAGTTACTAAAAAAATTTATTTTAAAATAATTGAAAATCTTAAAAGCTTTATTATTTTGCAAGACAATGTTAGTTAAATCACATATTTACTTTTCTGGGTCCTTCTGAAATTCGAACATACAAACTGTGTTTTTTAATAAATTGTCCAACAATAACTAATTGTTTAGACACATCTGTCTCGGTGTGTCCATTTTGTTCCGGGTCTAGAACTTACCCCTTTTGAGTCACGTGATCACGGCTCAGCCAATCAGCGTCTTGAAAATTAATTATTCCCTTCCGGTCGTTGCGGGATTAAAAACTAATCAACTAATATAGCTACAAACCTAAAAATAGAAAAATTACTTTTGAATAATTGCGCGGTGATCGCTTGTGTGCTTTGAATATGTAAGCCGCTTGGTGATTGGCTGCGATCGCAAGGGGTTTTGCGCATGCGCAGTACGCTGCGTTAGCCGACATTTTGTTTCTAAAACTAGCGTACATTATTAATATTGGGAATTATACCTATCTTTTAACTTGATTTGTATAAAATTTTCAATTTGAGCTTGTTCTATTCCACATATCAGGTTTATAAGTTCGCATTTTACCTATTTAAGCAATAGCCGCCTCCCGTCTGTATGCAGACTTCGAGACCAATTAATTAAAACTGTATATTCAATGTTTAGCCTGCATTATGTTCTAAGGCTTACATCAATTTTTTTCTTTACATTCAATAAGATGAATCACATAGCTGTTTCTAAATAGCTTAGTGAACAAAAACAAATAACCAAAACTTTACACAAATCTAAAGACGCCAAATTTTCAGATATCTGCTCTATAGAACATACCCCCCCCCCCCCCCCCCCTCCATCTCTTGTGCCTCATTGAGTGTTTAAAAACAAACGAAATTTGCCTAACAAGGACATTTTGAATAACACAAGACACGAGTGGGGAGGGAATGTGCTGGGGGGGGGGGGGGACGACAGCATACAACTCACCAATGTATGGGTAAACAGGTTTCAAATTAATGGGATAAGGGGGTCACGTTTCCATGGGGTAATGACAGCTGGAATGTTCCAGAAGGAGTCGGGGGTGGGGGTGGTGTTTTTGTTGGAGGTCTGGCGTCTGTCGTGTCTGATCTAAAGTCTGGGTGTCTGGACGGGAGTGGGGGGGGGCAGGAGGGATGGGGAGGTGATAGTGAGGTAACTTATATTTGAGGGGGGTCATTGGTTGATGTTAGGGGTCATTGCGGGTCATTGGTTGATGTTAGAGGTCATAAGGGGTCATTGGTTGATGTTAGGGGTCATTAGGGGTCATTGGTTGATGTTAGGGTGTGTTGATATTAGGGTTCATTGGTGAACATCATAGGTCGTAGGTGGTTGTTACAAAGTAAAAATGTGTCGTTATTATGTGTTATATAATGCCATGTTGACATTATAGACTGTCATGTTGACATTATAGACTGTCATGTTGACATTATAGACTGTCATGTTGACATTATAGACTGTCATGTTGACATTATAGACTGTCATGTTGACATTATAGACTGTCATGTTGACATTATAGACTGTCATGTTGACATTATAGACTGTCATGTTGACATTATAGACTGTCATGTTGACATTATAGACTGTTATGTTGACATTATAGACTGTCATGTTGACATTATAGACTGTCATGTTGACATTATAGACTGTCATGTTGACATTATAGACTGTCTTGTTGACATTATAGACTGTCATGTTGACATTATAGACTGTCATGTTGACATTATAGACTGTCATGTTGACATTATAGACTGTCATGTTGACATTATAGACTGTCATGTTGACATTATAGACTGTCATGTTGACATTATAGACTGTCATGTTGACATTATAGACTGTCATGTTGACATTATAGACTGTCATGTTGACATTATAGACTGTCATGTTGACATTATAGACTGTCCTATTGCCCAGACATGATAGAGATGGGAGACTACCATGAAGATAATACTTCATGAAGGGACATAATCCATTTAATGTCAGCCAACGAACATACCCTAGTAAAAAAAATGAGAATAGGCGTGATCCTGTCTGTAATGTTGGGGGGGGGGGGGGGGGGTATAGCTCATTTTATGTGTCTACACAAGGGGTGGGGGGGGGGGGTATGGCTCATTTTATGGGTCTACACAGGGCTTGTGGGGTGCTGTTAAGTCAGGCAGACCTAGACTAAAATAGAACTAGCTAGTTATCGGATTCTGGTCAGTGTGTTTGAGTTAGGGGCATGGGGTGAGAAACGTCTAATAGACAACCTCGACCTCTGACAATGTCATCGGATGTAGGTAGGCATGTATTTCCTGTTTAAAGAAGCATAGATTAAAAGCCCTTTTTATTACTACCTATATATATATATATATATATATATATATATATATATATATATATATATATATATATATATATATATATATGTGTGTGTGTTCAGATGTTCTAAATCTCGGCTTTAGATTTATTTATCGTTCTGTAGTTTCGAATAATGACCATTGGTTTTTTTTTCAATTTACAAACTTTAGGTTTAAAAAAAATAGCTGATAAAAACTTGGTCTACATGGCTAAACTCGAGAAATGGAAGAAAACAAAAGGTGAAAATATTTACATTTGAGGGTATCTAACATGTCAATTAGATGCCTCAATGAGCCACACAACCTAAAACAACCGAAACACAACCTAAAACAACCAAAACACAACCTAAAACAACCGAAAAACAACCTAAAACAACCGAAACACAACCTAAAACAACCGAAAAACAACCTAAAACAACCGAAACACAACCAAAACAACCGAAACACAACCTAAAACAACCGAAACACAACCTAAAACAACCGAAACACAACCTAAAACAACCGAAACACAACCGAAACTAAAATTTTCCATTTTTTTCTGTACGTGAGTAATTCTCCCCCCCCCCCCTCCCCCCTCCATCCCCATCCCTAGAGTCTTACTCAGACGTAACGCGACGCAGAAGGTACATTTACCACTGCATGCCATTATAAGGTCCCTTAACTGTTCATATAAGTAATCTGGAATATTCTAAACCAGACCAGAGCAGCTCCGGAGTACTGTAACCATGGCAACAAACTCTCCAGGGCGCCATCTTGAGTTATACCATTGTATATTTATCAACAAATTCCCCTCAAGTTTATCTTTGTGTCTGTCGTGTGGTTGCTTTCAGTGAGTCTAGGGACTTGCAAAAGACCAATTCTCACGGCTATTTGCATATCTTGTGAAAAACTTCAGTCAGAAAATATTTTTTGTACAAGATTAAGTGTACACAAGTTGTACACAAAGAAAACTTAACATAGCAGTATTGGTTGTAAGTAACCGATACGTCTTAATGATTGGTCCTTTGAGGAACTGCTAATAGTGCCGTCAAAGCGAAGAACCAGCGGCCATCATTCAGGGCATCATTCGGGGCATGGTGCCAGAAAGCGGTTACAAAACTTTGATGACCTGCTAGATCAGATGAACCAATGTGTCTTGAAAATGATTTTTTTTCATGTCAGTTTTGTAACAATATTTTTTTTAATGTGAAGTTTCTCTGTTAAACTGATACAATATAACTGCTGCATAATCGCAATAGGAGAACTAAAGGGCGTTGTTCCGACTAGTTCTTTTAGTCAAATTCGTATTAGCGCGCGATGCTAATTACTAATTATTTCTAACACCCTAATGAGGAGAGCTAACAACTCGGACCCCGTTCTTGTCAGCAAAAGTTAATTATACTGTCTTCAAACATGCTTTAATTTACTTAATTACGAAAATTCGTTCGTATTTCTCCTACCAGTCATCTTAAAAACCAGAAGCTATATTTATCTGCCAATCAGATCACTTCCTACAGTGAGCTTGCATACATATCGCTCATTATAAAAATGAAAACGGAAAGGGCATTAACTCTCGCGCCCCGATAACCTGTCCTTCAAACTGACGTCGCCACGTGTTGCTAGAGTCAGCCATGTTTATTAACCTTTAATTCATAACCTTTACCGGACAAAATTTTAACAAAAATGTAAATTGAATTTATTCTTGTCAGAAATTTGAAGGATTAGTTATATTTTGAAAAATTTCGAAAGTTCATTTTTAATTTTTTAATAAGAAAATTTAAATACTTCATTTCGCCATTTGGAGTTATTTTTTCTAAAAAAAAATTAATGTTGGGGAGTGCAGTGGCGTAGCCAGGATCGTTTCAAGGGGGGGGGGTCTAATTTTTACCCGGGGACAAACTTTCGATTTGCACCCCCCCCTCAAACTTTCGATTTGCACCCCCCCCCTCATACTTTATATATATATACCGAGGAGTCTATGGGGGGATTATGACCCCCCCCTAACCCCCCCCCCC